TGTACATTTTTTTTTAAGAATAAATAACATAAACGCATCCATAAGCATAGGCTTCCTAGCTATCTTAATATATTTATGTATATTCACATCAATAGCAAATAGGTACCTACCAATTTCTAACAGTTGTTATTCATCTCTATAGAAAGACAGCCTGCAATATAAAGTGATACCTCTACTTCTCCAACTTCCAGACCTATAAAAGTGGACCCTTACAGTTCCAAAGCTCTCTCATCATCAACGCTTTTGATGTTCAGGGACCTCTCCAGTTTTGTTTCTTTCCTTTTTAATGTCGCCAGTTTTTTTTTTTTTTTTTTTTGAAATTGCATTTTTAATCAGTCCATGTCTAGAAATAAAACAATTAGAATAGTCTTGGCATCAAGATAAATAATCTTGAATATCTAATAAAATATCATTGATCATTTTTTTGCTTAATTATGCTCATCTCCTTAATTTATTTGCTATGTTCTTGCCAATTGTTACAAAATAATCTTCTTGTTCTAGTTCAAGTTGCTTTGCAACTGTCTTGAAAATGGCATCAGCTTTATTACTATTTGATTATCGTTTAAAACTTCTTCTAGAATTGAAGCATTTAATGCATCATTGCTGGTGAGGCCAAAGATTATGGTGTCGTAGGAGGCGAACAATTGCGCTTTTGCTCATCCGTTTCACTTTCATATTGTCTACTGGCGGAGACTGGTGGAGAGTGTGCGGACATCAACTCCAAATCAGAACTGTCCAGGTGAGTCAAAAAAAAAGTCCCAAATAATATCAAAATTGTGACAATAGCACACAAAAAACTTATGTTTACTTCGGTTATAAAATCTATGCTGGAAATACTTTCTCGGGGCGTTTGTTGATGTGTTAAAAATAGTAAATAGTTGAAATACCATAAATGTGATGTATCTTTCTCGCCCGCTCCTCATCTTTGGGTATTTTTCAACTCTTTTCGTAAAATTCCCCGCATTGAATTAATTTTGTTTCTCACGCTCTCTATATTCCTTCGAATTCATTTCCCATAAGCAAAAGAAGCACTAATTGTCAAACCTAAAACTTCACCTATCTCTTAATCTTTTTTCAGTTAAGTCCTCTTGAACCCTAATAATTACGGTTGCCTCCTGTATTGTGTATTGCATATTTCATTTAAAAACCAATAGCACAGATCCTAATGCTTAATATTATTAATATTTTTATCCTAACTTTTTTTTAATATAAATTTCACGAATCCATTAGAAACTAATGTTGTGCCACTGAAAAACGAAAAATGTAGTTCTATTGGAAATTGCATAACAATTTTGAATAGCGTGCAAAGGAAAAAAAATCTTGAAATTTACCACAACAACATGAATAGTTTGGGCTGTCATTCGAATGAATTGGTTGTCACTTTGTTGTGTTTGGGAAGGGTTTTCGACTGTGTGGTTCTTAAAAAAACGCACAAAATATCAGATATGTCATCATTAAATATTCATCATGGTAGGAAGTTTATTCAGAATTCAACGTAAGTATCAGCACTAAATACATTATTAATAAAATAAAATCCTCGCAATCAAAACATCTAAGACTAGTAGAAATTGAAAGAAAATTTTGGATATCAGGCTCTCCACTAAAATCGGTTATCCATAAAAACAAATTATATGAAAAAATGGAAAAACGGCCTTACAACATAAACTGCAAACAAGAATTGTCCTAGAATAGTTACACATTGGCAAGTATCCTAAGAAAAAAATATTTTGAGAAAGGATAGCTAATGGCCAATAATTGAAAATAGTTTTCACTCAACTTATTCCCATTCACTAGATTGTGATTTAAAAACAAATAAAAGAAATATATTATCCAAGAAGTAAGAACTATTTTATCAAATGATTACTCATATAGGGACTATTCACTAACTCCAGTTCAAAATCCCACAACTAGAACAGAACAGCTGTTTAATGAGTCGCATCGTCGCACATAAGAACTCGGAATTCTGTGGAAAGGCAAGTTGGTGTATGGAAACGCAGATTTCCGATATGAGCATATTAAATGAGGTACCTATAATATTGAAACAAGTTGTAGCCTTTGTTGCAATTGCTATCTTGCACAATATGGCAGGTACCAACAATGAGAATCTTCCACCCCTACCTGAAAATATTGATGAACACGAGTTGCAGTACCTTATTATTCAAGGAAACATCCAGAATAATAATAATCATCATAATGATGGACAGGAAAGGCAAATTCCGTTGTTCCGGACACATTTGATTAATATCTATTTTGGACGCCTATAGAAAAATCAAGTGTGGTTATTATAATTTATTTAATTGTTTATAATAATACATATTATAAAAAACGGAAAAACTCAAATAATTTTAAAGAAAATCCGAATTTTGAATCTTTTAAAAGTGAAATATTATTTCAGAGGGTAGGTGTTCTTCAAGGGTTATTAGTACTAGTGCGGACTTACACAGAGATACTTGCCCTCTGCAACTTTGTGACACCTAGTTCAAAATTGTGAAGTTTAAGTATTTTATTGTTGATAAAAATATAAGCACCGAGACCAAAAACGGAACACCTATATCCTAAAATAATACTAGAAACATCGAGTTTTGAAATCGTTTTGAATACGGTTCTGGTATTGAAAACGCATTCAAAACGATTTCAAAACTCCATGAAAACGTAGTAAATATTTAATTATTGGTAGGAAATGTTTTGTCTTTTTAAAAGTTCAATTTTCATTTTTTCTCCTCTTTTTCCAAAGTTAAGGATTTGTTGTTGCAAACTTAGAACTCTTTTTTTTCTCATTCTGTTCTTCCCTTGCCCAATTTCTCATTTCGTTTGCCTCTTCTATTTGCTTTTCAACAAGAACGAGCCTCTTGCCCAAACGCTTATCGTATTTCTCAGAAACATCAGAAGATGTCAGAGCTCTAATGCTTGCAATTCTGTTTGATTTAGGGATGGTCCTATTTTTTTCCATAAAAGATTTTTCTTGTTCCTACGCAGTTGTTACTGCATCTCTACGCGATTTCCCCATAGGTTTGATGTATGATTTGCTTGTGGATCGTGTCTGGGTTCGCTCCTTGCAGTTGTTTTGGAGAGCATCGCTTGCTTTGAAAGCATAACAAAAATGAGGTCTCCTCTTCGGAAACAGAATGGAAATATATATATTTTTTAAATTGGAAGGCTAGCTTTAGTGTCAGCTTACATGTCCACATAAAACTTTTAAACTAGATTGTGTTTGTCTTTGTTCTTTCTCTGCAGATTCAAAGTAGTCCGTCATCCAGGTATTTAACGATGGGGTTTTTTCTGCCTTAGATTTATTTAAAACGCACTCATGTCACCTGATAGTTACAGACTATATTACTCAAGATTCTTTGAAATTTTTAAATTAACAAAAATGACAGAATCAGATCATTGGGAAGTTGAAAGAAATATTTGCACGGTATAGAATAAGTGAAATAGTTCGTTCAGACAATAGTCCCCAGTTACAAACCAAATTTTAAAAATTTGCGCTTGATCACATTACTAGTAGCCCGTATTTTTCCCAATCAAATGGCTGTATCGAAGCGGCTGTTATGGTTGCAAAATCTCTCATTAAAAAGGACGAGGACATTCGCCTAGCTTTATTGTCTTAAGAATGGTTGATTACGAAGTTATCGAGATTTAAGCGGCTATTGAAAATTTTGCGATTCAAGTAGAAAATAATAGAGGAGATTCCATGAGTACCGAAACGCGTTTAATTGTATGTCTGAGTGTCTTTTTGTGAAAAACTTTCGATTAACTTAAGGATTAACACGGGACTTAATTGAGTTGGTGCGACCATATAGATAGGGATAGATAGGCTTCTTCACTTTTTAAAGAACTTCGTATATTCTTCTTTTTTCCACTACTTTACCTAAAAAAATAACTCTCTGTTCATAGGTGCTCATTACTTTAAATTTTCTTGCTACGGGCTGCTATCAAGTACAGGGGCGGATTAGGCCTTTTTTCGCCCCTGTGCAATTATAGTTATTTATGGTACTAGTGTGTTATGTTGAAAATAAGTCACGCGAGAAAGAATTATACCACGAGGCCGTCAGGCCGAGTGGTATAAATTCTTAAGTGACTTAGGAAATATAACACACGAGTGGCATACAATGTTTCATCCAACAAGTGGAAGAAATCGTTTCTTTATGAAATAATACAAAAAAATATAAGGTTCTAATACGTCGGCGTCTTCCAGCACTATCAGCAGCCATACCGATATGGGAGCGTCTGGTTCCAATGAACTAATGAATTTTACAATGACTTCAAATTCGAATAAACCGTTAGCGTTTGCCTTTAATCAGGCCTATGATGTATCATTTTCTGTTATTTTAACAGCAACGTTAAGTTATCTTTTACTGTTCATTCTACACTTAAAAATAGGGACAGGTATATACTTTGAGCTGCTATAACACAACTGTTGAAATAACAAGAGAGGATACATCATAGGCCTGAATTTCAATATCAATGTGAATTCTGCTTGTAATAGTGATAAATAAATAGCATACTACTTTAAATATGAGCGTGAGTTATAATCCATAACTCAGTAGTGAGTTATGGATTATAACACACTAGTGTGTTATTTGATAGTTTACTTGTCTAAAATGACATAAATCATAACAGTCATAACTGTCATGTGTTGGATAAAAATTATTTCGCCCCCTTCCAGGCTCTGGCCTATATCATAATTTTTTATTTTGTCATTTGAAGATTATTCGATATAAAAAAGACAAATACTTAGTATATTGAATTAAAAATGGCATGAGACAAGTTGATTAGTGCGAAGTCACTTATCTTTTCATCTGAAAGTGTGTTTCTGAGATAGTCTTTATTCCTCCTTGGAAAAGGACCTCTCTCCAGACGCGTTAGTCGATGGAAGGCAAAGATACAATCTCAATAGTATCAGCCGTGGTCCTGATCAGATATTCCTCTATTTTTTTCTGGATTGTTTCTTTCAATTTCAAAATTTCCTCTATATGTTTGTTACCCGTAATTGAAGTTAGTCATAATATAGCCATAGCCACCACCTTTTTTTCGACGTAACTTGATTCCCCAGAGACTGGAGGTGGAGGAACCCTACCAGTAACATTTATGTATCTGTTTAACGAAGCCTTTTTTGTTTTGGTGTCTTGCCAAGTCTAAAATTACCATTTTTGTTATTGGTATTATTAACATTTTACTTAGTTCATGTTATGATGTCTAACTCACTTTGCGCCATAGTTTCCAAAGATCCGTCTTCGGTAACTAGCCGCACGAAATCATCCATTTGAATTTGAGATCAATACATTTTCTAAAAATTCCTAAATACAGAACCAAATTTACAATATACAGTGTCATTACTTAAGTGTGCAACATATGGGATTTTTTTAGTAATAGCACAATCAAAATACAAACAAGGCCAAAAGTTGGTGCATGTCTGATAATCATATTAGGTGCACTTAGAATGGTTGCAAGTCAAACAGCATACAGGGTAGCTCAAAAAATATCAAAATTGTAGAAATATTTACTTAAATGAAATAAAACTTTTGCACTTTAAGGAGAGTTTTTTTAATGTGGCTATTATCATTAGTAATGTTTTAACTTGTTAAAAAAAAAAATTGCAACATTTTAAAGTTGTGTTGAATATCATTGCAACAAACATGAATTTTGTGATTCCATAAAAAATTAAAAATCTAAGTTAATTTTACAAATATGCTTGAATTTGAACAAAGTTATGTAAAATTGATTTGATTTTAATTAATTTATGGAAGTATTAAGGGCGGAAATAAAAAATTAAAAAAATATAGAAATTATAGATTTTTTTCGAAAAAAAAAATTTTTTTTTTAGGAGGCCAGGTTTTGGTATTTAGGCATAACTTTTAATTCCAAAAAACTTTTCTCTATAACATTTTGCTGAATTTTCCAAAATAAGGGTACTTCACAGTATAATTTTGATATTGTTTGAGCTATCCTACACAGTAAAAAATCGAGTCTTAATTTTAACACGCAAAAGTGGTACATATAGGTTCACACTCATGCGTGTTAACCACTAATAAAATGTGGTAAAATTTGGTAAATTTTATTTAAAAATACATTCATTTTACCCTTTTTTGCGTGTTTCTTTAAAATCCCAAATAGAGTTAAAATAATCTTATCTTTTGTAAAAAATAATATTTTCCGTGTTAAAAGTATTTAAATAAAGGTGATTTAGTGTCAATTTATTAACCTAGTTTAGTGTGAATTGTATTTATTTCGTGTTAAAAATATTTTAGTGGACGTAAAAAGTACACTTTATTGAGTGTTAATTTAGGTTTTGATCAAAGGTAAATTTTATTTGCCTAGTGTTAAACATATTTTGGTTAATGAAAAAAAAAAAACACATTATTGAGTGTTAATCGTTTATTATAGGTGTCTATAAATTAAAAATAAATAAAAATGGCTTTTACAAGAAAACAAACCCATCCTAAAAAGAAAAACAATAACTGGTAAAAGTGGTAAAAGGTTAAACAGTAATTAAAACACACTATAAATATTTTCTAATTTCTGTTTTATCTTTCCCTATATTTTAAAAAATTTGATGTATTCCTTGACCAGATGACCATAATATTATGTACCTATCTTCCTACATTCACTTGTTTCTGAGATAGGTAGTACTTACAATTAAATTTCTAACAATAAATTGATTTTCAAGACATCTCGGGAACAGTTGAATTCAGGAATGAACCTAATAAATCAAATTTCTTAAAATGTTTCCCTTCATTTTAAGGTCACGAAATATATCAATTTTTTTAAAATATAGGGAAAGATAAAACAGAAATTGAAAATATTATAGTGTGTTCCACTTATTATTTTGACACAATTTGAATCTTCTACAATAACGCATATTTTAAATAAAATACATAATAAATACATCCTTCATCCTTCTTCAGATATAGATAGCCTTAGTACAGGATGCTGCAATCTGGGGTCGTATTTTCGAAACCATGCGAATTTTCTCGCATGCGATCTATTTCGAATGAAAAAAGTCGTGTACGAACTAAAATGCGTATTTTTGAAGGCCCTTCGAAAATGATATCGTATACGAGTATCATTTGCGTTGGCAACGTCGCAAATTCGAGTATTTGGTAATGGCCATTTCGACCGATACAAAAACGAAGAGGTATTTTTTGACATTTGGCTTTTTAAAAATACCATAACACTCCCTATTTTTGCTGTTAACCTATAAACTATCCAAGATGCTGTCAAACTTAAATGAAAATGTCTACCAAGAGGCACACAAACCCTTTGTTAGGTGTTATCAAATGGTGTTATGAGTTTTAAATAATGCTAATTGTGAATTATCTACGTTGTTATATTTAAAACTGTTGTATTTATGTTAGAAATAGTGTATGTGAATAGTAGTTCGTGTTCTTCCTGCCAGCCATATTTTGCTTGTCAAAGTCTTTTTTGTATTTTGTGGCTGTTTATTGAGTTTTATCAAGTATTATTTAGTCTATTCTGTTAGTATAGATCTTGCTGAATAAATTCTGTGCACCTAATCGTTGGGATTTCCTTGAACGTCCTTGTTTTTTATAACGTTAATTAACAATCTTGGTTTTTGGAGGGTTTGTGTCTGCTGAACAAAAGAAAGATTTGATTAGCTTCATGGAGGAGCACCCAGAACTAAAAATCTGGAAAATTCAGCTTTCAGGAGCCGAAAAACATTAGAAACATTGGCGCAAAGTAAACACATCAACCAAAGTTCTTCGAGGGCATCAATAACATTTTTTTCGATTAAATAATCCCAGCCAGCCATTCCAAAAACTGTCTTTTAATAAAACAGGACAATTTATAATCCGCAAATTATTTGGAAACGAATGAAAAGTCAAAAGGAGAACGAACATCGAACACAATTTTCAATTTGCACAACGTATTGTTTGCCCAGCGGATCTGAGTCTACGGAAGGAATTCGGATGTAAATGTGCCATGTTGCCACGTTTAATTATAAAAAAGCGAAAATACTAGGCATGAAGTATAGTTAATTTGAAAATCCATTTTTTGATAACAAAATATTGATAACAATAATAAAACGCTAAATATTTTAACGTGGTTGTTAGACCTATCCTTATTTTAATCCTGATTTCTTCAGTTTGGTCTATTGTAAAAAATGAACATTTTCTAAAGATACCATCAGCTTTTGACAATTTGGCAAGCATCCGTCCTGAATGAACCTGATTGGTGGAGTTTTTGGCTGGATCGCCGTTGTCATGAGGAACCATACGGTTGTCAATGAGCCAACGTCACCCTATGTCTCGCTATTGGCCAGGCCTGACGTCATTTTATCCTCCCATCTTGGAATATCAATTTATATTGACATATCCAGTGGCGGAGATTTGGTCATTGCTGATTTTCGTGTACTAGTTGCAATACGATAACACGTCCAAAAAATTCCGCACGCAGCTGGGTATTTTATGAATGAAATCAGCCATTTTTTTTTACAACTGCATTCCCCTTACCGTTGCCCCGTAGACACAGACTCGCTGGGCAGACATTATTTAGGTAGGTACATAAATAACAAATATAACGTATATTAACAAAATGATTAGCACTTCAAAATTCCAAGCAATGCGCAGAATCAAGTAAAATCGCATGCGAAATGGGACATTCGACTGGTGGAGACCCACTCGTGTAAACGTACACGAACCAAATCGTGTACGGACCGTTCGAAAGTGATTCGAAAATACGGAACCCCAATTTTCATGCGAATTTCGGCTTATTTCGTATACGAACGGCATTCGAATGGTTTCGAAAATACGACCCGGAGTGTTTTGACAGGAAAAACATACTTCCAGACCAGATAGAGGAAAATTGACTTAGATGTTATGCGATTGATTTTCCAGAAACATAGATTGTTAAAAAACCTATCGCGATATCTTCAATGGTATCATAAATACAGGGCTATTTTCGATTTTTCCCTATTATGAAAAATGGCTATAAGTTTGTTGTTTATCATTTTTTTTTATTTTTGTGAAAACATTTTTGGGATACTTAGCACAATCCAGTGGCCTACTCAGTTTTTTTCTATTCCATTCCCATTTTGAGATATTGACCAAAGCCCTATTTTTTTTTTAAATAGGACACCCTATATATTAATCTCATTGGATAGCTCTGCTTTTGTTGATTTCAATGATATAAAGTTTGATAGATTTATCTCTAACAGTTTTCGAGAAACAAAAATTATATCTCTTTCAATCATAAGAAACAATGTGTTAGAAAGACACCTTCCTCATTTGCCTTACAGACATAAAATCCTTTTCCAACAAAAACAGATATAATTTTTTTTTCTCGAAAACTGTTATAGATAAACCCATCGAACTTTATATCCTTGAAATCAGCCAAAACAGAGCTATCCAATGAGCTATTATCATATAGGGTGTTTTATTTAAAAATATCGGACTTTGGTCGATATCTCGAAATCAGAGCGAAATAGAAAAAAACTGGGTACGCGACTGGATTATGCTTAAAAAAGTAATAAATAAAAATGATAAATAAAAAACTTATAGCTATTTTTCATAAAAGGGGAAAATCGAAAATCGCCCTGTATCAATGGTACCATTGAAGATATCGTGATACGGTTTTTGACAATCGACGTTTCTCAAATATCGATCCCATAACATCTCTGTCAATTTTTCTCTATCTGGTCTGGAAGTATGTTTTTCCTGTCGAAACACTCCAAATTGCAGCACCCTGTACAAGGTAACCAAAAAAACAACTTCTAAAATAGTTCCAAAAAAAATCTCTTTAACAAAAGCTAAAATATTTTGAGCAAACTTATAAACAATAATATAATGCCTACTTTATGCCCGTATTACATCTGTGTATTTTTCCGTGTATTTATTCATGTAGTTCAGAGTGCCAACATTATTTTGTTTTTCATAATGCTGATTTATGTTGCGTTTGAAGTTTTTCGGTTGTCACCCTGAACTACATGAATAAATACACGGAAAAATACACAGATGTAATACGGGCATTATAAACATAAATTAAATATTTTTATTGTGAAAAAACAAAACCTTTACTGTTCTAAAATATCATGTAATACAAACTTTGGTAATACCATTGTAATACCTACATAAACTAGAATACATAAAATAATACCCAAGATGAGGTTGCAACAAAATTTTTGACAGAGTGTATTTGTTCATTGCTACTTATTTAAAAGTTTTTTTAAAAAATTTAAATTTTAAACTAAAATATGCTTTGGGACTATAAAAAAAATCTGTCTTACGGAATGGTTGTTTTTTTTCATAGGCATCCTTGTTTCGGAGAAGTTTAACATCAACAAGAACCATTGAATTATAACTAACTTTAATCGGATAAGCATTTAAATCTTTGTGAAATTTTTCAGTTTTCCAAGGTTGTGCTATAAAAAATAGTTGATTTTCAATCAGAAGAATTTTTTTTATTTCAGAGAACGTGGGTCCCATTTCTTCAACTTTAGTGCATATAAATAAACCTATCCCTTAAGTAAAACTACTGTAGGTAAGGAACTTGATTTCAAATATTTGTTCAGGATTAGGAAGATCCAAGTTATCTTTTATATTTATTCTTGTAAATTCAGAGTCATCAAGTAAAAAAACTGTCTTTGGACCAAGTTCAATATTATCTTTGAAAGATATATTTTCCCAAAGTACATTTATATGTATTTGGTGTCTAAAAGCGAGCATCTTGGGGACATTTTTGAAATTTTTAAGTTTGTGTACAAAATCCTTAAAATATCCATGTTTCGCCTCAAAGCGCATACACCATAGGTGTACCAATGGACCCATTTCAGAAATAGCTCTAGGATAATGTATCATCATATGATGTTTGGGTAGCAAGTGACCATATTCCAAAACTTTTTTGTGGTGATTAATAATAAGTTGTTCTAACTCATCTATTGCTTTTTTGGGAATAATTGGCGAAAAACATATATTCATTATACCAAGTAAAAGGATAATCATATTAAATTCTCCACATGTACTTGAAACATCAGAAAGAATCAGTGGAAGATATCTTATAAGACACCACATTTGAGCGGCTCGTTGCCCAATAATATATCCACTTTTATCTAGTTTTATAGGACTTGGTTTGCTAGATATATCAATTTGTCCATAATCAAAAAAAAAAAAAATTACTTTCCAAGGACAAGCTAGTAAGAAAATTAGCAAATTTCTTAACAAAAACAATATAAATGTTGCTTTCAAAACTAACAATACAATAGGCTTTCACTTGAAAAATAATAAATCTAAAACTAAAATTTGTGATAAATCTGGCGTTTATAAATTATCTTGTAAAGATTGTCCAAAAGTATATATAGGACAAACAGGTAGAAATTTTGGTACTAGAATTAAAGAACATTACAATAGTTTCAATAAAAAGAAAACAGATTCAAATTATGCTAATCACCTGATAGAATCAAATCATAATTTTAATAATGAATTTCAAATACTACATAATGAAAACAAAGGGATAAAATTAAATCTTCTAGAATCTTTAGAAATAAACAAACTTAAAACTTTAGACTGTTTATTGAACGACCAATTAGATTTAAACAATTCACCACTTTTAAATTTATTTACTGTGTAATACCTATTTAAATTAACATAAAATTAGACCAGCTTTTACCTTTTTTATATTTGTCAATTTCACTTTTATGTCTACATTTTATTTTTCTAAAATCTTTCTGATGAAGCTAAAGTTTAGCGAAACATGTTAAAAGTTTAACAAAAAATTGTGGAAATATATAAGTATTAAAATTTACTTAAAAAATCTTTTATTAAAAAAATTCTATCATTAATTTCTTCAAGAGTTAATATTTTTTGACTAACCAATTTATTGAGCCATAATTTTATTTCGTAATGAGCAACACCCTCTAAGATGTCATGCATGACATCAACAGAAACAGAATTGCCTAAATTAAAATAAGAAAGATCATTTAAGTAGCTTATAATTTTTACTCCATAAGGCGTATCAGGATAGGTTATTATTAAATTTTTATAAAATTCTAAACTTCTTTTTTGAAATGCAGGATGGTTCTCAGTCAAAACATTTTCAATATTACTTTTGTGAATGAGGCAATTCCGACAATAGTAATTGGCATTGAATGATTCTACCATTCCATACATGGTGTTTCCTCCCAAATTATCATGACTTAAAGCAACTAGTGTACCTTTTAATTTATAGGGTAAAAAATCCACTGATAATCCTTGAGTTTCTAATTCTTGTAAGTATTTCAAGAAAGGCTGTAAGCTCGCCTCTTTTAAGTCATGAGAGTAAAATAGTGCAAGTAAATGTATATTTGCTAATGTAGATAAAAATTTTGGGGGAACGTTCCGTATAATAAAATAAAAAGCACCCATTTTGTGACAACCAGTTTTAGTACCCAAAGGAGCTGAACACTCAAATTCGTCATAATATAATTGTATCTGGATTGCATTTGGTTGTTGTTGAAAAAGTAGATTTCTTTTGTAAGAGCTACCATCAGAATATGTTTCATAAAGCAAAGTTTCATTAACATTAATATCTTCATTCAAGAAAAATCTTTGGAACTGTTGATTTTTTAAAACATTAGTCAATGTCTCGAGAAGGGGTATATATGTAAAAGACTTAAGTATATTTTTCTGGACATATGTTTTGCTGGTTTTATTAAAAACTTGATCAACACGAACACCTATTGGTATTTCTTTTGGTTGAACAATTTTGCTTGAAAAGTGTTTTTTTATTTTGTACTCTGTATTACACAAATCCAAATTATTCAAAATATGCTCTGAAATCCAATGGAAAGGATCTGTATTTCTGTTTTCTTCTTTAACGATTTGTTCAGTAATTTCTAAAATGTTCTGAATTAACTCTTTAAGACATTCCATTATACGAATAATGGTTGATTGAGGACAAAACATGAATATTTACTTCTTCTGATAATAATGATTTTAAATCCACTTTTTTCTTTTGATCAATATTAGATCCATTATTTGGAAGTTCCATTTCAGGACAAACATTTTCATTATTTTCATGGGAGTTCATTTCGGGACAAGTAAGACTGAGATCTATTTCTATTTGTGTAAGTTTTTTACAACTTTTTAAATGCTTTCTGTAGCCATTAAAAGTTTTAAATATCAAGGCACAACTCACTGAACAACATTTTAGAGATAAATTATGTTCTATGGGAAAATGATTTCTTCTTATATGTTGAATCAAAAGTGAAATATTATTGAAATTTACAAAACACACAAAACAACTAAGTTGTGACATTATCACAATTTTTTTTTTTTGAACTTGCCCCTTTGGGGGTTATGAAAAGCATGACTTAAATTTTAACAATATTTTTTTGTAGCTATTTGTTACAGCTAATAAGTTTGCCTAGACACTCACAGTGCAGAAAATTAGTAATTTGTCCACAGATGATTCAAATGAGTCTCTTCTTCCCACTTTTTTTCCCTTGGCAGTAGCTGGCAGCATATGCAATAGCGCTAAAAGTGCTCGCGTCGGCTTATTCCAACCTTAAATTAAAAAATTTGAATTCTAAAATGTATTATTTTTTCTAAGTATACTAACCTGAAACAGTTCCATCAACTAGTGATGATTTACTGCAAGCAGTTTTGTCATACACTTTAAAGATAATGTCTAAGTATTTCTCAAATTTTGGGGCAAATGGACAAGAATCAGGATAAAGCAAATTAAAATCTTGATGAATCTAAATATGAACCAATAAAGCAAGCTACATAAGTGAATTTAGTTTCTGAACAAACTTACCAAGCCATCAGTGTCGAGAAATCGAGGAAAATCATCAAGTGTAAAATTTCTCTGTTTTCTCACATTAATTGTGCTTTTCATTTTTTTAAAAATCTCCTCTTTCTGAGTCTTGTAATTTGAATTTTTTAAAAACTCTATGTCTCGTTCTTCTTCTGTGCTTATTTCAATATTTTTCGGCTTTTTAAATGGCACCCTATTTTCTATTCCATCATCACATTTTCTCTTTCTTATGTTACCCCTACTTCTCATCACAGTTCGAAGACGCCAAGCCAAATATCCACTTGGCGTTTTTTGAGAGTCATCATAAAATATTTCCTATAAATCAATAATTCAATTATTCAATTACAGAATTAAAAGTATTTAACAAAAAATACTTATAAAAATATCCATTTATATGATTCATACATGAGAAGATTATTATTATTTTTATCATTATCATTATTATTATTATTATTAATTACAAAATTATGAAGCTTTAAACTGAAGCTGCTAAAGCATAATTACTAAAATAATACCAAAACCATAAGTATTCAGATAATATGTACTAATTTATATACAGGGTATTTGTTTTAAAATTCAGCACCCCTATTATTCTCTTGGAGTTGAAAAATTTTCTAAAAAATCCCTAAAACATGTCAATTATAATTTGAAAGGGGGTGAGTTTTTATGCAAAATTCACCTCCCCTCAGAGCACCCCCTAGAAAATCCTGAATGTGAATAGAGATGGTAAGTTTTAAAATGAACACTCTGTAGATATGCTCATATAAGCTAAAAAAATGTAAGATAAAATAAAAAGGTAACTTACGTAACCCCCCTTGCTACTAGTTGGATCTTTGAGCTTGGGAAAAAGTTGAACAATGGCCTTTGCATATTCAACTTTAATATTTTTTGTTAAATTTTGTCCAAATTCATTCAACATCATTTTTACAGTTAGATTTACTAAATCCCTCCTCGTCCTATCGGACAGTATTCCGTTCTCGTCATATTCATTCAAAATATGAGAACCACCATTTTTATGTAAAAACTGTTTAAGGTCCTAAAATATAAACACAACAATAGTTTTTATTTTATTAATAAATATTATATAAGTGTACCTGATGCTTGGATGTAAAGTTGTTCAAACGGCCAGGAGTTAGAACAGGAACTAATGGAATGTAAAACCCATCCTTATCAACTTGCATTTCCTAAAAAATTTTAATGTGTTTTTCTTTGTCCAATTTAAATTACATAGCAAAATTCCAAAAATCAAAATATTATACTAGTTGAACTATACTCCTGGACAAAATTATCGCACCACTGCACATAAGCATCACCATAAGCAATGGTGCGATAATTTTGTCCACGAGTATAGTATATTAAAATACAAGTTGCAGAAGGCCACATATTCCCGCACGAATTCGAAATTTGGCCACGAGCGACGAAGGAGCAACGTGTGTTTTATAGTATTTTCTCAATTTTGGATTTTATTTTTCATATTTAATAGTAGATTATACCACGAGTCAATAATGATAGCTATTATTCCCGAGGAATATCAGTGAGTTACATTCCGAGGGAATAATAGCCATTATTGCGAGTAGTATACTCTACTTTATTTACGACAAATTAATTTATTTGAGATTTTCAATGAACAAATTTCATCCGTCTCATAATTTTCAATACAAATCCACAAGCACTACACGTTTGACACTGACACTTTTGTGGAATAATGACCATTAATCCCGCTACTCGTCATTAATCCCTGGAGGAATAACATATGTCATTATACTGCCAAAATCACAAATATAATACGCACATTATACATTAGTCGTAAATATTTTTTTTTTTTGTGAACGCTGTTAGTTGGGGATTTTTTATTTTCAACCTATGTCAGTTGGTGACACTTTACTTACCAACAAACTGACAGGTGGATTCTATCATTATCAATGAACTATAAACTACACATATCTGGAATGGCACCGACCGTTGTCGGATATGGCATTTGTATGGCATATGTCATCTCGCTTAGTGCGTCCAAAAAAGCTACATAATGGGGTATCCCTTTCTCTCTCCAGTTCATTGCTGTTAGGTTTGGCATATTCCTAACCTCGAATAAAATATTTTTTAGACAAGGAAAGATTTCCATGATTCGCCAATAAGATAAATAGAGATGTGTGTACCCCACATTCTCCATCTCAATCTGCCGCAAATTTATAGATCGGCGGGCCATTCCAGGTACGGGTAGTTTATAGTTCATTGATCATTAATAGCAGGTTTGACAATTTTGAAGGTACCGATAGGCATACTTTGAAAACTAAATGTCACTAAAAATCGTTGAAGAATGAGCTTCATTCTTCAATGATTTTGCCTGCGGGAATAATGACATTCTCACATCAAAATCGAGAATAGTATATTCTTCAACGAGCATATAATGATGGCTATTATTCACGAGAATGAAAATTCAAACACGAGCCGAAGGCGAGTATTGGAATTATTCGAGGGAATAATAGCCGTTATTTGCGAGTAGAAGACTATACTTTCTCTTCGAACTTTTTGAAAGAAAATCATTAGTTTTTGTAAAAAATAACAATCATCAAAAGTCTAAACCCGCCTTAATTGAAAGTTTAGTGATCTGACAGCAGACGTCAGTCATGTTTTGTTTGCATTGTCTCGTTGCGGCCCAAGTATTCCGAAAATATGGAGAATTTGATTGGACGACAGGCCGTGGATTCCGGTTTGGAACCGTCATCAAGGTATACGCTTTGGTGACTTCAGCGAAAGTAAAAAAGGAATACTAAAGGTTCCATCTCGGAGTACCTGAAATAAATTATTGTCGTTTAACATTTTGTTTAACAAAGCGATTCTGTGTTTTGCTATCATAACGCGGACTTGTCTCTATTAAATTGTTTTACGAAGATTGGATCTTGTAATTCCGGTTCAGGTTCACGATTTTTATTGCGTGATTCTGAAGACTTTGTTTATTTCGCTAACAATTTTTCTTGAATTTCTTTACTTAAGTTTGCAAGGGATTCTGCCAAACTTGTTATATAGTCAGTTGTTAGTTTATTTTCCGTTTGTTCAATTGGTATTGCATAATTCAAGTCTCCTTTAATCACTTGATTCATTGTACTGAGTACTGTTGTTATAATTCAATATAGCGTTTATCACTAGATCTATAATACTCTTATTCAGATTTTGGAGTTTTAAACTCGTTATACTTTCATGTAGTATCGAATGGAATTTCTCGATTGGACTATTCGAGTCCGAATTTCTTGGAGTTATATAATGGAATTCAATTTTGTATAATGTACAAAGATCTGTCATTATAGCATTTTTGAACTCTGCTCCATTTTCTAATGTTATTTTTTGAGGTATTCCGTGATCACTAAAATATTTCAATAACTGTGATGTTATCTCTACAGCTGTTTCCGTATTTACAGGAGAGGCTTGACCAAATTTTAAAAAGCTATCAATAATGGTCATAAATTTCTGGTTATTGATCATAAAGGTATGTGTCAATATAAATATGTTCGAAGTTTTTCGTACCGATTGGTGTTGGTTTAAACATGATTTTGTATGGTTGTCGTTCATACTTGGTTTTATTGCATATCTCGCATGCTTTGACATAATTCTGTACGTCTTTCTCGATATTGGGCCAAAATAATATTTTCTTTAAGGCTGCAACATTTTCAGTGATTCCTCTATGAGAGGTTTTAGTCTCATGCCGATTACTGAATTTTCTCTTGTTGAAGATCAACTTCTGTGATGTCTTCTTATAAAGAGTTCGAGGTAAATTAATTCGAATTAAACGATTCTTGTAATGCTCGTATCACCATAGGTTCTAAAGATTTATTTAGGAAATGAAGGTAATAAATACCAGGTGGAATGTATTCCTTTAGAAAATTAGTAATTTGTGATGTTGGATTATTTAATAAGAAGAATAGTATTATCTTTTTATTACCAAATAGTTTGATTATCTCTTTTCTAATTGTGTTATTATTAGAATATTGAAATTCAATTTGATTTCCAAATATATTTACATATTTCTAAGTATATGGAGCTCCTAATATTGGATTTTCCATAGATGTATTTTGTGTGCTCATTTACAGAAATTTGTCTTTTACTTTGAGTTTTTGAAGATTCTCCTATTTCTATGGGAATTTCTTTCTTTTCCTTTCTTGGAGGTATTATTAGTTGGGATAATATTTTTATTTTAGGTGTTTCTCCAGGTTCTCTTTCTGATGCTGTTTCTGTTGATTGAGATGATTCAGAAATTTTTATCTCTTTTTCTTTGGCTTTCTCGCTTTGTTTAGGTAGATATGCTTTAAAGTCTGTAAAGGATTTTGCTATGATTTCATCATTGCATAATGGCGTATCTTCCAGCGTTTCTCCTCATTTTGTTGTGAAAGTCTTCATCTGAAGATGTTAATTTGGCATCTGGATATAATTTGTAAATGGCATGAAGTTGTATTGCAGGAATTCTTGATAGTGCGTCTGCATTCATGTTTAATGTTCCTTTTTTGTATTTGATCTCATAATCAAATTCGGATAATTTTAATCTCAGTCCATCAGACTAATTTAGAACTTGGTTCTTTAACATTAAATAGCCATTGTAAAGGTTTGTGATCTGACAATAATTACGTGTCCTAAGAATTCGACTGTCTTGTATAGGAATTCTGATTTATCTAATAATTGTATTTTTGAATTAAACTTCTCAAGTTTCTCAAATACTTTTTTCAAATTTTTCACATGTTCATGAAGTGAAGTGGAAAAAGTTATTATTTTTTTATTGATAACCTATTTCACTTATTTAAAGTACTCCTCAGCGTGTTTAAATCCAACATTCAAAAACGCGCGTGTTTTAAAGTTACCAATGACATCAACAACCAACAACCAACAACCCGAGAAAGGTTTAAATGTCAATTTTTTAATTATTGATTTGTCAGGAGTAGGTACTTGTAGATAACGTCAAATAAAATGTAACAAGTGTCAAGCACAAATTATTAGTAATTTATGATTTGAACGTATACCAATAAAAAAAAATATTGTAAAGTATTCGTGGATAACTGGTCTTTAAAACACTTGCTCTATTTCGAGCACTCCGGCTGCGCCGTCGTGTTCGAAAAATCGCGCGTATTTTAAAGACCTTAATATCCACTTATACTTTAATATACTAATTCCAAAAATTAAAATGCTTTACAATTAGAGATGTGAGTGTGAAAAGTTTCACTTGAAAAGTTTCAATAAAATTTCATTTCATTGAAAAGTTTCAAGACAGTTCAAAACTTTTCAAAATTTCGTGAAAAGTTTAAAGATCATGAATCATGCATTGTGACTTTGTCCCAGGTTTGTTAAAACGAAAACGCATGTCATGGTCGTGGGCAAAAAAATAATTAACGAGTGACGAAAACAGCATTTTTTGCAACGAGAAAACAGTTGTTTTCAAGTTGCGAAAAATGATTTTTGACAAGTAAAACACTATACTTTTTCTAAGACCATATTTTGATTTTTGCTGTTGAACTTATGTTTTTTTTACAAGGGTTCCTACTTGGTTTGATAGCTGGCGCCATCTATGAAAAATGCTCGTTTTTAATTAATTTTATACTTATATTTTGCTTTTATTACATTATATAAAGCAAAATTGTAATATACTATAAATGAAACACAGTCATTTGAGTGATGATCTATTTATTACTCAAAATATTCAATTCTCCGTACCCAAAGGAATGGTACTCTAGTAACAAGAAACCCATTGTTAATCTAACCATACACTATTAGTAAGCTAGCGCATACACGACTATTTAGAGACGTTATGCACATATATCACAAAAATTTACATAATTTTGTTATGAACTATGTTTTTTCATTGTGCTCCACAGAATTGAAATATAATTGGATTTGAAAAAATGTATTTAACATGTAAAATTTTAATCATTCACTTGCGTCACTAGTGAGGAAAGTTAATGTTATGGGATATTTCATCACTAGTGACGAAAATGACGTTTTCGGCTAAGGTAAAATATGACAAAAGTTGTTTATTTTTTGATGGTCATAGAAAAACAGATTTTTTCACTATTACGCAATTTTTTTTTATTTCCTCAATCCTCAATCGCAATATTATTATTTAATGGAAAGGAATAATTGATAAAAATTATATTATTCATCAATTCAATTTATTGAATACCTATCATTTCGAAAAAATAATTTTAGAGGCCATATTCTTCCTGTACTTAATAGTCAACCATCCAAGGACCTTTTTTTTCAGTTATACATGTAAACCCCATACTTTGTGAGTGGCTTGCTTACATCAAGTCCTACAACTTTTCCTCTACGACTTTTCTCGGAAATGGCACGTATGCGCGCAGGCGACTCGCAAACATTTTAGGGGTATCGGACTCCCCCAATTTGCCATTA